CCCCCCCCCACCTGATTTTTTTATGTTGTAGTGGTTTGCATAACTTCACCTTACTGCACAGCACAAAAGAGCTTGACCGAGTCATATCGATCTCGTTAGAGGTTACGCTTTTAAGTACAGCCGAACCTGCCCTGACGGCCACCTCTATAAGACGACCACCTGTACAAACGGCCACTTTCCATTTCCCCCCTTGCGTTTTTTCTATATAATTTAACTGTGTAAAACGGGCACCTGTCCAACGCGGCCGCGGCCACAAAAATTTAACACACAACCCCTATAATACTAAGCAATAATACCTGTCTAAGACGGTCACCTGAGTGAATCCATTACGTTTTGTCATAAATTGTGCATTGGCCCCTGGCGTTGTGGGCGAGCCGTCATAATTCAATCACCTGTCGTTGTTGTTAGGTAGTTCCTCCAACCGATCATGTTGCGTAGGCCCCTCCCACTGTTGACCAATAGCTTCCAATTTTCAGCTGCAGGTGAGTTAGCGTGTGATCCCTCATAACCCATAAGCCCCGCCCAGAACTCATACACAAATCGTAAGTGAGATAAGTGGTTACTGTTTACCCAGTCTGTAACAAAGTAACAAAGGACGTCAACATGAACTTGTTACAGAAGCGTCCCTCGTTCTCCGAGTGGTGGCGACCCATGTGTTTGTTTTAACATGGCACTCGGTCTTCCTTGTCTGATACATTTCGTTTTATTGTCACTATTGTGCAAAATCAGCGACAAAATAAAAATTACAAACGAAATATAAACCAACAGCAACAACACCAACAAAGACAACAACAATGGGGCTACTTTCGATTGGGGCCTCAGATGGGAATGGTTTGTGTTCTTTATCTTGATCAATCCTGCCTAAGACGGCCACCTGTCTTATGCGGCCACTTTTCTCCTTGACAATGGGTGGCCGTCTTACACAGGTTTGACTTCAATTGGTTCTCCAATAGAAGTATGGCTGTTTCGACTTTGCTTGCAATCCTTCTCAGCCCGGGCTGGCGCTCACTGGCAGGGTGTTTGTGTGTGTGTGTGTGTGTGTGTGTGTGTGTGTGTGTGTGTGTATGTGTGTGTGTGTGTGTGTGTGTGTGTGTGTGTGTGTGTGTGTGTGTGTATTGCACAAGAACAATACGGCTACAAAATTGGTAAACCTGTAAACATTTTAACAAATGATAATAATAATAATAATAATAATAATAATAATAATAATAATAATAATAATAATAATAATAATAATAATAATAATATTAAATGTCTCAGCACGTCCAGGTGAATCGAGGCGCCCATAAATAACCTCTTATCCTCAGCTATGAGTCAAATAGTGAAGATGTCTGGCTACTTGGTGGAGGAGAGATTTATGTCTACAACAACAAAGGGCACATGAGGATACTTTATCCAAAATGACCACCAGAAACCCGTGCGTTGTCTCCTCCAGCAGCTACGGGATGATAATTTTCCTATGGAAGTTGACGATGGGTCAACAACCTATCTCATTTTTAAAAAAATTAAGTTACTGAAACGGAAATCAGAAAGCGTAACCTTGTTAATGTGTTGGGAAAGGGGGGGCAGTTCAGATGGAACAAGTATGACGGTCAAAAGTCCGAGGAGCGCCCTTCTGAAAACAAAAATAGATATCTTGAAATTAAAAGGCTTCTGGAATGTTACAACCATGCTCAAGACAATTAAATTTGCCCAATATCAGAAAAGAATGGTTAACTACCACCTCGATATATTAGACCTGAACGAGACACGCTGGCCTGGTCAAGGAAAAATATTTGTAAAGAAAGAAAAGAAAACTCAGTTACTCAGGGCCAACTAAAAGCGGAGAACACGGAGTAGGAATCCTTTTGATTGACACAGCAAATAAAGCCCTTAATGAGTGGGGACCCGTGGACCAGTGATTATTAAGAGCAACACACCAAACAAAATACTTTAAAATAACATTAATGCACTGCTATGCACCGACGAATGACCACGAAGAAGAAGAAAAAGGCCAATTCTACAACAGTCTTAACTGCCTATAAACAAAAGTGCTAACGACATACTATGTGTGATAGGTAACTTGAACACAAAAGTATGAGAAGCAAAGGAAAGAGCAGAAAGTACAATGGGTAAATAATTATAACATTATTAATAATAATAATAACAATAATAATAATAATAATAATAATAATAATAATAATAATAATAATAATAATAATAATAATAATAATAATAATAATAATATGTTGTTGTTGTTGTTGTTGTTGTTTTATATAAAAATTTAAAAAATGAAAACTTATGTCCGTCCTATTCAAAGAATGTTCCAAAACTGTACAATCCATCAACTTATCTGGCAAATGAAAAGACAAAAACAACACATAATTAGACAATCTAACATCACGCTTTCTCTCTCTCTCTCTCTCTCTCTCTCTCTCTCTCTCTCTCTCTCTCTCTCTCTCTCTCTCTCTCTCTCCGGATCGCACCTCTTTCAGAATCGCTCTCTCGGGAGTGGGGGTTGTCACCGACGCCTCTGCAATAAATATTAGTCCGCGCCCGATTGCGGTCTCTGAAGTTCCTTTTCTTTAATCTATGCTTCAACATTCCGATCTTATACAGGCAAATACAACCCGTTTTCAGCCCCCGCCCAACCCCCCTGGTCCCCCCCCGCCCGC